AGAATTCTCGAAAACATAATTAGGAGTTCAGCTAAGGGATAAAACACAGGAAGAGTATACCCCACTAAATGCTGAACGATAGGTCTGCTGCAATGCCTACTGAATTGCAGCTTCCAGGTGCAATACAGTTTATCCTACGACCACTTATAGCCAGAGATTAATTAGACAACTGGCAACATAGCTCCATCTTTGTATCTCTGAGAAGATCAGACCTTGAACTGTTCTAGCTATTTTGAAGAAGAGGCATATTAAACTTCAACCCTTGGGCTCCAAGGCTACAGCCTTCACAACCAACACATCTAATTACTACCCTCATTCCAGGTTTGGAAACCTAACTGCAGTAAGGGTTATCAGGAACTTGAGAAATGGATGGGTAGCTGCCCTTTACCTCAGACAAGTCATCTACAAACAAATCCACCCTTCCTACTTTTTTGCCCAACACAGGTAAGAGGTTAACTACTGATCTGCTGAACCAAATGAACAGTCTATAGGCTGCTTTGGGGCAGACTGATGAAGAATGAATTTTGTTCACTGGTTTATAGGGAGTCATCAGCAAAGAAAAAAGAAAAGTATTTGCTGGTTGACAGGAGAAATGTGAAGAGGTTATATGTGTCCCAAGGAAGCCTGAAAGAAAGCACCCATCTGGCCAGAGAGATATAACTGTACTGTAACATCTGGGCGAAAACGCTACTGACTGGAGCCTCAGAAAGCAGCATCTTGAAAAGAGGCTTGACAGCAGGGAGCTTGGGAGAATGGAAGGAAAAGTTGGCAGCTCCTGAGCTGCAAAATGATGACGAAAATGAAATGGAAAAAGTCACTGAGTCATGACTTAGAAGCTCCAAAAATTTCTGCAGGTCTGAGTTCACAAAGGCCGAATTTTGGAGGCCTGAAAATTTAAAGTTGCAGTTTTTGCTTTATTTTGTCATGCTTTTTTTTAACCAACTGCAAATTATTCTAAATATTTGACACTTGTTAAATTAAAGAACGATTGCAGTGGTTAGAAAAGAAGCAATCACCAATTTTCACAGAAATTATCCTCCTAAAACTGTGGTTACTATTCTGCTTTCATTTATAGCTGCTTATCTCGTTTCATCAGTGGAAATATACTGGGTGTTGAAGAAGGAGTCCATTCAAGTATTAATTTGGATATTTATACATACAGCCTATAATTATACAGAACACTCTAATCTGATTTAGCATGTTCTACAGGTGCCAGGAAAATAACTGACATTAGTTATTGCGTTAAGAAAATGAATTTTTAAAAGCTGCATGTTATTAAAAGCATGTGAAATGCATATACTGGAATCCTGCCTAAATCCTAATAACATACATGTCTCGGAGATATTCAATACCCACAGGACAGATTATTTGCTAACAACTCAACAAACTACTGGATTTCCCATTCCACCTTTCTATGCCTTATATGTAATTACTTTGGACACAGAATAATTTCTGGTCTTGCACAAATGCAAAAGTCAGTGGTATAATTCAGAACAATATTTATATTTATTTACTCATGGGTAAAAAAGTCACAAAGCCTTTACCATCTCTAGGCATAATTCAGATGCAAGAGAAACATAATCCTCAAAGGCATATCATCTTTCATTTTTGTTCATCATGTCTTTCCCCTAAATCACTCCTAAATTCCTTCCAGTACTCAGAAGGATTTTCTGTTTTGAGGAAATATTATCATTCAGATAAGTGTTATGACTCAGAGAAAACAAGCAGCCATAACCAACAGCCAAAAAAAATACCTGGCATCTTGACTACCTCCAAGGTTGTACTGTTATTAGAATAGACATAACTGATGGAGCAGAGGCAGTAACATCACCCAGGAAACAGCTCCTTATATTCACTATGAAATTAACTACTTCTGCAACTGCTGGGAAAATTTAAAGAATAGGTCAGATTAAGACACCCTAACCTACGTGTCTACATGTTTAAAAGCTGGCTAGGTCTTGGAAGAGACCATCTTTTCCAGTGGAGGCAGGATTTACTTTCGTAAATACGGGCTTCTAGAGCTCTTTGAAATATTCAGCTATATACCAACTGGCCTCCAGCTGCAGGTCTGGAAGAGCATAGGTCTCTCATACATCTGGTATCTCATCAAAGAACTCTACATGTGTGTGCTGGATAGTCTAGCACACCTCAGATGCCACCTGTCTTTATGAAACTAAAACATCCTGGAGATCTAGTTAGTAAAATCGATGCATCAACAGCAATGTTTCACACCCTGAAGTAGAGACACAAGAAGAAAGTCAACTGATTAGAATTTAAAACTATCTGAGATATCTACATGCAGATAGCATATACTCCACAGGACCTAAGGAAGCTTCCTTCTCACTGCATATGCTACTGGATATGATGTGTAATCTCAGATCACACTAAGTACTATGCTAGTCAGCATAATTCAGTAGGTGCTCTATGCTTCTACTGCGAGTGATGTGATTTGCTCCACCAACCTCACCCACTGTATTGGCTAGGCCTCAAATCTGTTGCTAAATATCTTTACCAACATTTAAATTGCAGTTTATCCTGCCTGATCTGTGTCTTCCCAGATAATAGTGGGCTTCCCATAAGACCTACATCATATTTCTCATACTTACATGGATGTCTCATAAATTTCCAACAACAGAGATGTTTATGTTTAGTAAAATGAATGAGTCTCTAGTAGCTGGTTAGTTGACTCACCCTCTAGGCTACACTGGCTCTGTAGACTAAACCTTTATCATTCAGATTATCAGATTATAGGGACAATTTAAACACAGTGCATATAAACACAGCTCCCCATAAGCATCTGGATTTAGGTGTCTTAATTTCAAACTGAACCTCATCATAACTTTACCAATATCTACAGAATTACTCCATGCATAAACGCAGTTGTTATCATGAAGTTTCATCCCTTTGTGAAGACTGCTGTTAGTCTTTTCTGTTCAGGTTTTTCCCTCATTCATAATTTAAGTGAAGCCAGAAAAACGTGTGAAGTATATGCACATTCTTTGGAAGTGCATTATACATTCTGAATCCAAATTGGCCGTATACAGATGTCAATGAGACCAAGTCGCCATATACTTCAAAAGAAGCAGCATACAAGCAAATGCCAGGCTAGCACAGATTAGCACAGAGGGCGTCTCTTAGATCATTTTACAAATCCCTTTTGCATTCAGCGTAGGTACTGCAGACGTTAATAGCAAAAAAGACTTTTTTTTTTTTAAATCCTGTTCTTCAGTTATTTCATATTTATTAATAAGGCTTATTATTTAGTACAAGAACCACTACTTGTGGAAATATCTCTTTACTGAGGGGGTGCTCAAACACTGGAACAGGCTGCCTAGAGAGGCAGTCTATGTCCCAAACCTGTCGGTTTTTAAGAGGCATTTGAACAATGCACTTAATAACATGCTTTAGCTTTTGGTCAGTCCTGAATTGCTCAGGCAGTTGCACAAGATGATTGTTGTAGGTCCCTTCCACCTGAAATATTCTGTTCTGTTCTGGCAGATCTGCACTGTACTGGTAGATATTTAGTTACTAGTTACTGAAAGTCAGGACAGAGTTAAGTTTGCTTCAGCTACAATTTAAATGCTTCAAAAGATTTCACATGGAGCTGGCTACCTGCGAGCGGAAAACCCTTGTTGCACCATATCACCTAATTAGTTATGGTTATATAAATGTTTTTCCTTCTTTTACAACTACAACTAGTAACACTAGTTTATAGTTGTAATGCTAACTTTCATCACTTTGTATAAGCACCCAAAATTGTGTCAGATGTCCTCTGCTTCAGCTAGTAAGAAAAAGTAACAACTTCATCCTACAAAAAAATATTAATCAGGTGTAGAAAGAAAACATACATCAAGTAAAGATTTCACGTCCACTAATAGCTTATATTAATAAGTTGTTAATAATCTTTATTTCTTAAAACGCAGCAACATTCAATCACTGCCTAATTCCATGGGTCATGCTTAAATATATTTAAGCCCTGCCTTCTTTCTCCATATAACCATGTGGCAGCAAAGACTGGCATGACAGGGGACATCCAAGAGAATTTCAGGTCCTTACTAGTGGTGAGCAGTTAGTGATTTCTCCTTCACCCTGTGCACTGGCCTGGGGTAAGCTGTGCTCCCTGTTTAGACCAGGCCCACGCTAGCCCTATTCATGTCTTTCTGATCCTCATTAGGATTTGCAGAAAGGCAAATTAGATTCTAGCTGCCTTTCTGGAGGCTTTTTTAAGAAAAGTTTTCCCAGTCATAAATCCAGTGTGGGATATTCCTAAGTAAACCATGTTTTTTTCTGTATGATCATGTAATTTGTTGATCATTTAAAATGCTTCCACAGCAGGGAGTTCATTGCTAACAATGCTGCAGTCACTAAATGGGAATTATCTGCCATCTGAATTACATCATCTACAGCCACAGCCATTATGAAAGCCTCATTTTGAGGAGCAATTTAACACCACACACTGTAAGGCTGCATTATACTGTACACAATAACACCAGTGTACAACAACCAGAGTGCCACCTAGTGCGACCCACGTTACCATCGCTAGTCTAAAAACAAGTGCTGAAGTGTTATGAACTACTTAAAAAGGATGAGTTGTGCTTGCTAAAATACTCTTATCAGCAGAGAAATTCAGATCCAGAATGAAAAAAAAAAGGTTTAAAACATCTTCATGTATCTTAATACTCATCAAAAGAAGTCTGTAGAATAAAAAAAAAGACAGTTTGTCCAAATGCTGGAATATGTCAGCTGTTGTCCCTAACGACATTCAAAACTGGTTTTTCTTTTCCTCCACAGGCATGACATTAGGAAACAAACAACACCTTCAGACTCAGTTTACATGATGAAATAAGTTATATCATCAAAACCTTCAAATACACATTACAGAAGAGACATAATCTATATTTCTGCATAGTCTATATGAAGCCCTGTCTAAGTTGACACATTCATCATACTCTGCACAAGGATTTCACCAAGAACATACTGTCAAGCAAAACTAGGCTTACCTGAAAGTGCAAAATTATGGTCCATATCAACCCCAAAGTCAATTTGGGATTCCCATCCGTTATGTCATCATTTCTGATGTTAACCAGTTTCACCTGCCATTGTGGAAAGAAACATAGAGAGTTGAAATAAATGCCACAGATACGTAGTGCGTTACACAGGTGTGACTATAAAAGGTACATTAGTCACTGCATGAGCCTACTCTGTTGGGTTTCTTAATTCTCAAAAGCAGAAAGAAATTGCACTCTGGCTGTCAGCAGCCGTCGAGAAATTGTTCTCTCCCACCAACCTGAGAATATGTCTCAGCTGTAACCCCACCAGCAGATCCACTCCCTGTGACAACTACCCTTCACCTCAGTCCTTAACAGAACGAGAAAGGACAACAAGAATACGATGGTCTGTAACTGGTGCATCAATCTCAAGGCAGTGCTCAGACCTGGGAAGCTATCACTGCCTTTATTCCTCCCCCACACTTTCCAGCACCAGAGCAGGGATTCAGCCGCAGAACTGGTTTGCTAAAACACAACAGTCTGGCTTGACAAAACCAAGGATTTAGTATCACATTCAAATAACCAATGGTTTACAATTATTACCACTTCTGCTGCTGTACTCATTCACAGTACTAAAACATGCAATGGTTAACAGGATTAAAACAAAGGCTGAGATTATTGTCACTCCCATAGAATTATTAATCTCAGTCTGGATGTCAGTTTGTCTTATTTTATTAAGTTTAATTTCTCTGTATGTTATTATGTATCCATATAGCCTAGCAAATAAAAATGACTCAGCTAAAAGGCATTTTTTGCTTGTTAGCAAAGTTACATGCATACGCTCTTTAACATATAACCTGCTATCAACTGAACAAGCAAAGGCATGTCCTGCTTTTGATCTGCACACGTAATCTTAATTATTACCGGGGGCAGGTAGAGGACACCACCAAACCAAAAACACTCTTTGGAAGAAAGACAGAATATTCCATGGTCAAAAAAAAAAGAAATTAAAACCAAATCCAAATGTCCTCCTCCCACTGCATTATAAAAACTGTTTGTGTTTGGCAAAACTATCTTGACATATTTGTCAAAACTGTCTTATTTGACATACTTGTCAAATATGTTTTATTTGACAGTCAAACATGGCTTGCCTTTGGGTTTTTTCTTTCCAAGTCAGGCTTCAAAACTGTCAACATATAGGATCTCTCTGCCTTACAATCACAGTAAAGCATTGTGTTTGGAGGTTATACAGCCAACCTGAGCAAGTTACTTTCTAAATACGATTTAGAAACACCTAGCAGGAGGATGAAACCTTTATCAAATGCAAATCCCAGTGGCAACTTGCCAAGACAACCAAAGCCCTACAAGCATTCTGTACAGTGGAGTACAGCCATGTTCACAAAACTGTGAGCTTAAAGAAAGTACAAAAAAAACTCAGATCGCAACCAGTAGCATATGATGGAGACCTGCAGTTCCCAGTAACACATGCACATTCATAAACATGAAGATGACCTGATCCTACATCTGCTGCGTCTTAATACACACCATCTACTGTGCATAAATAAGGCATAGTGCAGCCTGTCCAGAGGTCTCGCTGCATAAAAATGCTGCTGTGACTGGTATTTCAAGTAGCTATCCTTCCACTTCATAGTGTATTTGTTCTGCAGCTCACTTAGGTTAACATGAAAGGTTCGCTTTGAAACCAGCAAAGCAGGATTGAATTCTCAGTGCACACCTAGCCCATCACTGACCCAAAAGACAATTTTACTCAAAATATGAAAAGACATCTGGTTTTATAACCAAATTAAGTGTCTGTTGGTGGTTTGCCACCTCATAGATTTTCAGACCTTTTAAGTAGCAAGTAAAATTTAAAAATAAATAAAAATAACTGATCAGGGAGCAGGTTTCCAGCATGGGTTCATTTGGGTGGGACGGATAGCGAGGTACAGTTTTGCCTTCCATGTTTTAGACATTTTTTACTACTGCCATTTGCAAGGGAGAGAGCAAGAACCCTGTAAATGCTTAAAAGAAATTTAAGAGCAGAAAGACACAGAAACAGAAAACCACCCAGCAATGTGCTTTTCAAGTGTTCGGCTTAAAGCAAATAGAAGTGAAATTCAGCCTGAATCTTCCACAGGTGACTCTGTTGCCTCTCTAGGGCACCAGTTTTTCTTTCATTCAGGATCAAGGCTTGAGAAAGTTTTCCCAAAATAAATATAATCAAAACAAGAAAGTCCCATACAAGGTTCTAGTTGCTTTGAATCTGCATTTTACACTCAAAATTAGGTTGGGAACCAAACCGCATATCAGCTACTGCCTGGGAGCATGGAAGATAGTTAACTTTACTACAAGCAACTCCCAGAGATCTGAACCCACAATTTTCTACTCTTTAGCATCATATACCACATGGAGTGTGTTGATATTATTGCTCAGAGAAGGGTGGTGTAAAGTTACCTTTGTCAAGCATGAGATCAAGCTGAGCCTACTCCAGCAGCTGATTACAGCAAGCATAAAGGACCAAGCAGGAGGCATTTATTTATTTATTAGCCACAGGTAACAAAATTTTCATTGCCATTTATTAAACTTTGCACCATACCTGGCGTTTTTTCAAATAGTCAAGTGCAATTTGGACGTTCTGGAGTCTGTGAAAACGCATCCGACCTTTTTCTCGGGGCTAAAATTGGAAAACAATAGTCGTGAGATTTTCTTGTCACACAAAAGAACAAACAGTCTGATCTAAAAACCGTGTAACACATGTGAAGCTCTGCAGTTTTAATGAAGCCAACACCTTCAGTGTTAAAACGTGCTTTAACTGTATACTTTTTTAAACCGTAGTTGACAATTTTTAGCACAGTGAATGGCAGGAGAGATCAGTGGTCCCAAACTGCAACTTTGATCCATGCAGGCTGATAGCTGTTTCCCTGGCACATTTAAGTACTATTAAGGCTAAGAGGGCTAAAAAAGTCCCTACATAAATCTACCTACAGATGCTAAATTGCCATTTATTATTATAAAAGATTCACAGTGTATTAAGCAAAGCAAAATATAAGTAATGTCATGAACCGTCATTTTGCTCGGGTAAACTCTGTGATGGAAAAGCTTTACCTCTGTATGCAACTTTATGATTTAATGTTGCTTATTTATGGTACAAATGCATAATCATTATGATAGCGATACAACTTTTGTTTAAAGCCTCTAATAAAGAGAATACCTTCCTCAAAACAGAATAATACAACATATACAGCCCTAGAGTGTAAGTTTAAACTCTTGACGTGGGTAGTACATCATAGAGCATGAAAAAAAAGTAGCAAGTCATTCTATTCAAAGCAAAGTCAAAACCAGCAAGAAGAAACTGCAAAATAAGCACGAGTGGTATGTTAATGGAAACATGGCAAAACTGCATGCAATTAGTGTAAAATCACCAAGAAGAAGAATCACACAGAAAAACCATACTTTACTTAGCTGTCACAGATCAGCAATGGGAAAGCAGTTAAATTTATGTCATCACATCCAAATCCTTCTATTATTCTTCCTTATTTCAGATTTTTCACAAACTTTGACAGCAACAAACTGAAGCAGACTATAATTGCTAGGGATCAGCCATGAAAATGAGTATTTCCTCAATCACTACGAAACACACAGACAAGCCCATGCCTTCCTCAACTGCCATTTTTCCCCCCTGTAGAGTACCAAATACTTGCCAAAAGAAAACATGAGAAATAGATTTGAATAAGAAACATAAACTAAGACACAAATGATTTTAATTTCCATTACAGAACCTTCTATTTATAGGCCCTTATTTTTCACACCGATAGCCCAGGATTCAAAGTTCTTCAGTCCTTGCTAACAAGTAGCCTCCCTGGATGGAACAAGGGACTGCAGATCTGGAACTTAGTTTTCCACAACAAAAAGGGTATAATAAATCCCAATCTATGTGTTCAGCTATAGCATCTCAGAGGGGAAATATATTTTTTCTTCTAATGTACAGCTAAAATGCAGCATTTTGAGTTATGTTATGCCCCAGAAAAAAAAGCACACAAATTCCACTGAAATCACAACTGCAACACAACACACAGGGAAGTAAAGAAGGCGCTTGGACCCTATGACAGCAAGTTGCTTTAGCAAATGCTGATAATGCGAGGTCTACAGAGGCATGAAACAGCTCAATTGGACTAACATGCACTCAGCATTTTGCACTTTATAAGTAGGTATTTCCCTTCTGGATGGTTAAAATACAGTGAAAGGATAATTCAGTATTTGTTGCGAGAACGACAAACCCTGCAAACAATCCATATACTTAGTAGCTGCTACACAGCACTGTCATGTAACTTTGACTATCGGCTTTGACAAAAATAGGTATTACACTTGATAAATTCTAAATATATTTGCATATTTGAATTAAAATATATTGAAGTATTATCCAGTATTATGTCAAATACGCCTTGGGTGGAGTACACTGGTGCTTCGAATAAAGAAAAATCAATTTTCTGCCGCTGTCTTCACAAAGAAGAGCCTTCAAGCCTTTGTGCAAATTACTTTTATATGGGCAATACTGTTTGCGAGTGAAAAAAAATAATCTTGGTTTAATGGAATTATGGTATTTCCTTATTTGTTATTAAAAATATTTTTTTCATATCTTGATAATGTTGTCCAGTACACATTTGTGCCATGGTTTTGTACAGTTTAATGAAAGAAAATAAAAGAAATCGTGAACATTTGTGTTTTAGCTGTTCACAGAAAGGCTGAATATAAATTTGTCATTACCATACCTCCATCATAAACATAGGTATCCTGGTCTACCAATGTGAGTTCTTTTGTCCTTCTACAGCACACTACTGCAGCACACAAAACTAAGAATTCACATTAGCAGACACCACACTTCAAACACTACGTTAGTACAGTTATGGGGGTCGGCACCTACCCCCTTATCCTCATCCTCCACATCCTCATGCTGTTCAATTGCGCATGCTTCTGTTGAACTCACCAACCGTAAGGTCTTCAAAAAATCTCGCTCTCTTGGCTAATGAATATAACAAACAGGAGACAGGACAGCAAAAACACAAGATAGACCACAAATGAAAAGAAGAGCATGAAAAGAATAACATAATGAAGAGAACAAATACCAAGCAAGGGAAGTAATGCTCACAAAGAAAGGAAATGACACCTGAGGAGTGTGTTAGACAATTTCAGGGACATTTTATCCTTGTTATTTGTAAGTTACTCCCATTAATGTGAAGGGATATTAAGCATCAAGTACTTGTTAAAAGAAAACTGTAAAGAAAAGGAAGAACAGAAAAAATAGCGCATTACCCTATTAAGAAAGGAAGTCTCACTGACCATAGGAAATACAGAGAACAGATTGCATTTCCCCATAGAATTCACAGTGGAATATTTTACCAACAGAAATACAACTTGTGTCTTTGGTATCAAGTCACATGTTATGGAAAATATCAGAGAAACTGCCTGCAGTTGATACACAGAGTTAAGAGAGCAAATGTTTATGTAACAAACTGGAATCACTGCATTCTGATCAAAAATCTTACCAAGGTGTCTCCAGAAAGGACTTCTAAAAGTGAGATCAAGTTATGTCCATCTCTTAGGTCTTCATACAAGTCATTCACATGTTTTCGAACCTGCACACAAAAATTAAAGATCCTCATATATACTTGAGAATTCACACTCCTATTAACCTGTATCTTTTAATATGCAGATAAACCTCAGATATGCTTCAGAATGGCTTTTTAAATTTATTCTCTTTCATGACAAATTTACAAACCCAAATTAGTTGTAACAGGCACTCACACATTTCCATCACATCTTATTTCATTTTACTGAAAAGAAAAATAGCATGAAGTTATAGGTAATGAATGCATATAGCAATGAAAAAAAATCAGTATCTGACAATTTAGATGATACCAGATACCTACCTATTTTGGCCTAAATAACGATCCCTAAGAGACGACACTAGCTAGATCCTATGAATTATGAAAATATACACTAAATGTACATATTATCAACAGTATGCATGTTCACTGGAGTCAGGCCAAAAGTTAATGCACTTTCTGGCCTTAAACTTATTGCTAATCAAAGCATACCATCTACCAGTTAACATGTTTGGTCACCTCACATTTCCCAGTATTTTGCGCATTTTCCCAATAGCTCACACATCCCCTTTCATTCAGATACACCATACCAAAGAAATACGATGTGAGATTGATCTAGTGAAGCCAAGGACACACACGGCCCTTCCCACAAGCTGTGCCAGTGACAGAGGTTAATGCTCCATACAGCTCAGTAGCACTCTACCACCAGCAGTCACCAACCCAACTGATTCCCTTCTGTGGTACCCCCAAAATAGACAGCCAGCTTTTGCCAGCTGACCTCATTCAACGAGATCAGGTTGAGACGGGTTGGTAACCAGCAGACCCTTGTGAGGCCAACCATTAGGAAAGGAATAGATGTAATGAGAAGCAAGAGAGATGAAAGCACTAGCTTTTCTGACAGGCTCAGCAAAGCTGGGAGATGTCTGTCCACGGGCCAACTACTTGTTTCTTAGCATTAGCTCAAATGCAACTTTATCTGAAATTTCTGTCACAATTTCAGCCAGCTGCTCTTTAAACAAGAAACAAAGGACCTCATTTCTTGGAAGCAGAAAATTTTGACATTCCCACCCAGGGCAGAGGTTGAGGGCTTTCCAGTTACAATTTGATGTAGTTGAGGGCTTTCCAGCTACAACTTAATGTCAGTTCCCTGGGACCAGATCAGAAAACTCTTAAACTTACAGAGCATAAAACATAACATCAGAAACTTCTTCTGACATTACTACCTCTGCCAGGGATGAACTGTATTTCCAATATGAGATCTATGGGACCCTCATCTGACTGCCAACATTTCTGTGTGCATGACAAGGGCAGTAGGAATCAACCCAGATCATCAGGTTCATACAATAGCTCTGTTCACCTGACTTTCGGGGGAATTTTTAGATCCACCCTGTTGAATAAATAACAGTTTCCATACCAGTGAGTAGCTTTATAAATGGCTTTTAGTTCAAGTTCTCTTACTTAAACTTTTAAACAGGAAATTACCCCGCAATCTGTTTTCACAAAGACCATCATCTTAATTGAGAATAACATCAGAGCATATTTATGCTTGTGCTGAAGACTAGCCAGAACAAGTCATCTACAAGACTGTTCCACAAGGAATTACAACAGATATTTTCCAAAACGTTCATACAGACTCTGCATATACACAGTCAAGTTACATACCAGTACTCTTATACACAGCTTCACATGCTCACACATATATGCAAAATAATATAATCTTAACTTAAACTGTGATTAAAAAAAGTATTATAATCCTGTTAACAGCTCATTCAAAAAAAGAAAGAACCAAAAGAAAAATTCTCTGGTAATACCAAAGTATTGTTAAGCTGAGCAAAGAAACAGAACTACATCAGTTGTAGAAAGAAGGAAAAGGGAAGCCATGTAAATATAATTAAAATCCCTGACACGAGACTTGATTATGCTGAACACTTAAAAGATGAAAAACACAAGGGTCTTTAATTTTTAACCCAAAACAACTGTGACTTTTTATTTTGCTATTCAAAGAACTACGTCAAACTGAGTGCCAAACTCTTTCCAACAAAAGCAGGCAAGTTTTCTTTACAATAAAGCCCTACAGATGGTTCCCCACTCCTCCCTGCCCCATCAGCCACAATGTGACATTCTCTACCTCCCATAGGAGAGCAGAATCCCAAGCCAGAGCAGAGCAAGAGCACAGGCTGGTGACCACAGGCATGGGAGGATACTGGGTTAAAGGACAGAGGAAGGGGGTGTACATATAAAAGTCACTGCACCAACACAGCAGAACTATCTGTGCATCACTAAGCCAATGCCTACAACTCTTTTCAACATAGAAGTCACAGGAGTTGCCCAATGTGCAGGTACCTGAATAGTAGGATGAAAAAGTACTACCATTTCTATCTGTCTACTTTTATTTTCCATTAGATGAAGGATAATTTTGTTATCCTGCTGGTCCATCTCTCACAACACACATTTATTGACCTCCTGTTTGTTTCTCATTCTCTGAGGTTTCCAAAGTATTATAGAGACAACCATCTTTCCCAGCTTATCTTTCTAGAAATCACAGATGCTTCAGAGATGAACTCATACTGTGTATGAAGAAGGTGGCATAGAGCTGTCAAAACAAGAAAACCAGCAGTACTCCTTAGATGTCTGTCTTAGATCTTCCATTGTCTGACAAATACCGTGTGAGGATTAATTACATAGGACATACTACATTGGTATGCTGGTACAGGACAATATAACAAGGAATTTCCTCCAATACTTTGAGCAGCAGATGTACACCTAAAAATAAGTATTTGGGCAACTGATGTGCAGCAAGCATGTTCACTAAAAACAGCAGATCACTTATTTTAAAAGGATTATCTTGTGCTTCTCAAGAGACACTACACTTCTCTATACTTGAGAAAAAGCTTGCAAAAATCATTCCTCTCTAGCTAACACTTGGCCAGGTCTTGCCTCTCAACATATATAATGACTTCTTAGATCTTTAAACTCACAAGAAACCAGTATTACTATTTCATCCCTGTTCTGCTGCCACATTCAGGCTCCTTCGGAACATATAGTACCACAAGTACCAGATGCACATGGGAGTGCCTGGATGGATCTGTGGGATCTGCAGAGCCCCATGGCATTTTGCAACAGTTCTTGTGGCTTTACAATAAAATTGCAGATTTGTCAGCCCTACATTTTGTAATGTCCACGTGCAAAGTAGGTTACATGCTGCCTCAGGCAACTTTTTGCAATATGCCCATGTGAGTGTGGTAGCTTTGATAATTTGGGCATGAGAAGAGATTCTTTAAGGAAGACGTGGGAGATACTGCATGGCTGAAGGGCATATGACAAATAACAAGGGAAGCAAAGTGGCTGCATCAGTCAAAAGGAGACAGGGAGAATTTGAAGCACCGTTTCAGAAGTGATTCATCTTCTAATCATCATCCTCTGGCAGGTATATTCTAATGTTTGTGGTAAGGAACTCCCATCTCCCTTGACATGAGCATAAGATATTTTGATATCATGCTTCTCCCATAAAATTAAGCTTTGCAATCTACTGCCTTGGTGAACCTGCACTATCACTAGTAAAAACAGCTTTTAGAACAGTAGCAGCCACAGGGCTGCAGTCTTAACCCCACACAGCAGCATATGAAGCACTTGAGAAACAAAGACTGCGAAGATGGCTGCTGCCTCCCAAAGCTAGCAACCTAACACTCTGCATAACTCGCGTAGTTTTATCATACAGTTCAGCTGACACATCTGGTTGTCCTTACAATCAAGTTGCTATCGGTTCCAACCTCACGTACCATTCCATTCTGCTTCTGCAGTTAAAGCCTGGCTCACCAGGCTTGGCTTCCTCCTCTGCAGGCTGGCATCACAGCAAATCTGTCACCACTACCTTCAGTCTGCCTGGGACTCCTTTCCACTGACAAAGAACAAAGACATGATTCAGCTGCCTGGGCACACAGCTTTAGGGCTGCTTTATGCTTACGGAGTATGCCATTTGGCCTCCACTTGCTTCTCCAGAAGCATGAAGGCTTGCTAAAGTCCTGCTGGCCAGCTCCCCACCCATGTCTGTCCTGATTACCCTTACACATCAAAACCAGCCCTAGATGTCCATATTTAGGGAACTGAACCTGCACAGTGATCTCTATTTTTGCCATGGGTCACAGCAAATAGCAAGCCATCTTCCACAGCAAGCTTGTTTCTTATAATTTTTCTTGCTATTATTAGTTGTCTTGTGCTGATACTGGAACAAAATCTAGAGTTTTATACAATAAAACCACAGGCTTCTTATTATTGTATGGCTAAAAGGAGATGGACGGTCCCTTCTGATTCTGCAAACAAAACCAGCTTGGTATTGGAAAGGATAGAGAGAAGACACACAGGCTGGAGTAAAGTAGGAAGGTTGCTCTCTCCAACACTTTCATACATCAACTAGGGCCTGTTGTGACAGTACAAGAGGTGTTTTAAACTAAAAGAGAGCAAATTTAGATTAGATAGAAAGAATAAACATTTATTTTTTTTTTTTTTGCAGTGAGGGTGGTGGAACACTGGAGTAGGTTGCCCAGAGAGGTGGTAGATCCCCCATCCCTGGAAACAGTTTGTGCTGGGCTCTGAGCAACCCTAGTTGAAGATGTCTGCTCATTTCAGGGGTGTTAAATGGGATGACCTTTAAATGTCTCTTCCAGCCCAAACTAGTTTATGATTCTATGGTAACACAGAAGAATCACAAACTTTCCTTATTCAGGAGTAAATGTGGCAGGAAGATAGGGTTGTGGCCCTTTCTGTGTATACGGCAGTGCACACCCAGCATACATGTAGAAAGACCTCACCGAGATTCATGGTGGCATACTGCATGTTCCAGACCATTACCTAAAATGCAAGGGACCACCTTCTGGACTGAAATAGTGGAGGAAGGAGCAGAAACAAACATTAATGTGCTGCAGAATCTGAAGTCAGCTAAAAGGGAAGGAGAAAATATATAATTAGATCATTAGAAGCAGGAATAACTAGAAGCAACTCCCATGTACCGGAGGCCACCAGGAACTCCCTGA